CCCCAAAACCCCAAAACCCCAAAACCCCAAAACCCCAAAACCCCAAAACCCCAAAACCCCTTTAGAGAAGGATGGTTGTCCTCGTATATCCTATTATTAAAAGATTTTCTAACCATTTTTCATGAGTAGTACGATTTAGATAGTAGATTTAGAGCTAGACATCTTTGAACCAGCTAAAAATGGTAAGTTCTGTCTATTTTCAACACTACTAAGCCATAATTCCCTTATCAGAGGGAGATATCAGGGACTTGGTCACCAATCCATGGTTAAAAATATAACTAAATGGTTTATGAGTCAGAAATTTCTGCTCTTGAAATGAGATCACTTTAATCAAGCTCAGCATTATCTGCAAAATTGTAAAAAAATGTTCGATTTCACTAGATTGAATGGGTGCCATACAATATTTGTTCCAGAAAACTTGAGAATTTTTGATTCGAAGAATAGTTCAAAATGTCTTTTCATGCTCCAATTTTAGCAATGAAGTTAGTACACCTCCCAGGCTATCTTTGGTCTCAAAAACTTTAGGGGAAACCTTGATAAAGATAAGTTATGGATAGAAATTTTTAACAAGAATAATCAGAAAATTGGTTGGAAGAATTCTTTAGATGTGTTTACCCCTTCAAAGTTTTAGTTAAACAGGTAATAGGTATAGTACGAGTTCTCTTACATATAAAATTATAGGTTAGGAATTAAGGGGAGCAACCTCCACTACTTTGGTGCTGAACCTTACTCTTTTATGAGGAGTTGACTCCGTGGTTGTACTGCTTCTATCGGTAAGGCACACCAACCTGGAAATCGACTTCTTCTCGCAGTTATAAGTATTTAGCGAGAGGATTCATTCCTCTAATGTTAACGACTTGCAACGAGAAGGTATCAGCCTTGGCTCCTTGCTGATAACAGGAGCCTGGGCGATCTTTGCTTCAGAATTTTCAATACATCATGTTTCTGCTGAATCATTGTCGAAAAATAATTTGCCTACTGTTTTATTGAAAGTTGTGTTCCTAGCCAGAATCTCGCTCTCGCGAATGATCTCTTCAGTAGGTTTGCTCTCAATATCTTTGGAAGTTTCATTCAGAAAAACTCCATTTTCACCTGAAAGGTGAAAATGGAAGTTTACCTCATCTTGCTTTTTCTCCAAATATTTTCGAGAACAAACCTTCCGTCTGCGATCAACAAATTTTAGGAACAGTAAAACGAAGAAGATAAAAAGGAGAATGATAAATGAGATGTAGGAATCATCGAATCTTGATAACATTTGTGGTAATTATTGCTGAATAATGGCAGTCTTATTATTTCAACTTACATATTTTATCGTGGGGTTTTGGGGTTTTGGGGTTTTGGGGTTTTGGGGTTTTGGGG